ATTTATAGAAACGACGCGGAAGGTCAAGAAAAGCAGGATCTGCATTATCTTGTGTTTAGCTGTCCTTCTTACGTATTTTCGTTGTTATCTATATTATTATTCTCTGTTCTTTGTAATTCTTGTACTATCTCGATAAATAGATGATAATAATACGTTATAGTCTTTCTCCTAAACAAACTGAACACCTGTTAAAAGCAATACTCTTAATCTAATTAAAACCAGATACATTTCTTTTTCCGGGTAGAAAAATGCAAAAACATCGTTATATGCCCGGACCAGACACAAAAAATGATAAACGAGCGCAAACATTTGCAAATTCCGGGTAGAAAAACTAATTTTTCCCATTCTGTATCACTTATTTCAGGACCTGTTTGATAAATTAAATGATCTTCTATAATAATTTTGCGTAACGCTCGGCACTAATACGATCAATTTTATGATCAATATAAGAAATCTACAAGTTCTTCCATTAACAAATCTGAAAAAAACGCGCGCAAAAACACAATATAAACTGCAAACTAGATTACAATCGTGCTGCGCACAAGTTGCGATGTCGACAGACTCTGTCTCTGCTGACAACTACCTAGAAATAATGGCTTCTGACTTACAAAACTGACGTGGTTCTTTAGATCATGTTGCATTTAGCATAAAAGGTGCTGGCATTTCACGGTGTAAGTGAATTAATTGGTTTACGAAAAAATGTAGATATAATATAGTTTTGAATAGAGAGTTGAGTAGTTTGAGTAGAAAGAGAGAGAAAAACTGAACAATAATTATCATTCAAGTCTTAAAAAATTTACACAATTTAAATGCACTAACTTGAAGGTACTCTACGATTACATAGCGATCCATTCATATGTCTACAGTCATTATCTGTAAGATAGCAATACCTTTACTCCTTAAGCAAATGACTCATTTATAATATCAATCACATATACATAGATAAACTGTATCCGAATGCATAAAAAAGACTTTTCGTCCATTTAATGCATTTACATATATTCGAATTAATCTGATGCGTTCACATGCATTAGAAGTTAATGTATTTAAATGTACAAAATTATTTAACGTATTCAAATGCATTAAAAAGTTTCTTCGTGCGTTCAATACGTTCACAGGCTTTAAGAGTGGTCTAACGCCATCACACGTATTAGAGATTAATACATGTGAACGCATTAACGCTTTTCAAAAACAAAAATAGTACCCGCATACTATAGGGAAGCATATTAAACTCTTTCTGACATCACTGTTAGATTCTGCTCAAAAAGTTTGGTCTAGGATGATCCTTTCTACTCAATCAGACCCCATGGGAAAATTTTATCGACTTTTCACGCGTGAGGGACCGTGAAATGTCAGCTTGGACTTTCACAAAATTTTGTAGATAAAGACAGCAAGTTTCATAACAGTTTGGTCGTGTTGCTGCAACATCACACGCATGGCTACGCGTGAAAAATCTTCACACGTGTACACAAGTGAATAATCTTCACACGTGATTACGTGTGAAAAAATCTTAGCCATGCCGACCATCTATAGTCAACTGACTATACATGGTCATCATGGTCAAGGTATAATGCAGACTTCATCAATGCAACTTCATCTATAACTTTTTCCATGTGTGACCACTAGTTTCTAAAATATCACATTTTATATATATCACCGCAAAGTAAGAGTCGAACCAGGGTACTTTGAATTAGAAATCTACGATATTGAGCTAACTTGCCTGAGAAACTACTGAATAAATCTTATATTCATAGTTGTCGAATCAATCCTCACGAGTTCCCACGTGTGATTACTCGTGAACTTTTTTGTTTCCTTTGGGTATTTCAAAATGTAACGCATGTAAATGTGTTAGAAAGTCTTTTAAAGTCAATCAACTCGTGTGAACTTATTAATATTTCATGCTATTAAATGCGTTAAAAAATGGTTAACACGTTAAAAGGAAATTTTTGGTATCAAAACAATTCATTGGGTAATAAATATATAAAAAATTTCTAAGTCCACAGCACAAATTTCTTCCACTTCTGGCCCCTGTGATGTCCGATCCAGCGTCGATTTTGGAAAACGAGTGCTCAATTATCAATCTTCAGTACATGGATTATTTTTTGTTCCAGAAGTTCTCTACATTGTTGCGTGCCGTGCCTGTTTAGCAAAAAATGTGACTAAACCAGAAAAGAAAAGAGAAAAATACTGATCAATTGTATAATGTCTGCCGACATAATAACATAACCAGAGTTGCCAGATGGTCCGCATTTTGCGGACAAATTCCGCTTTCTGTAGTAGCTTTTCCGCAAAGTGTCCGCTGTCCGCAATTTGTGCGCTTTTCGAGGATTTGTTGTTTTTGTTCTTTTTTCTGCAATGAAGATTTTTACATTTTCTCATAAAAAGGTTGACGCCTTCGGCGGCTGAATGATCTGCCAAAACGCTGTTTTAGGAACTATATCAGAAATTTGCTCCGGAAGTGAGCGCTAACAGAAAAACATTAGCTTGTCTCAAGTGCTGTTGAAACGAAGTATGAAAAATAGTGAAATGCTAAATCTTCAAGGAAGGCAACTCGGTCAGAATTTTATCCTGCCCTACATAACTCTTGAAATCTATCACAGCTGATCAAAAACGCGCATCTACAAAAAGCCAATACCGATTCAAATCGGGATTTAAATGATGTTTTGTACTTCTTTTGTGTTTCTTAAGTGGAACCATCATAAAGCGCTAGAAAATTTTTTTTTGATACTCCTTTGCGTTTGATGAAAAATGCGTTTCTGCGTTTTTTCCGCATTTCGGAAAAAACATTCTGCTTTTTTCCGCTTTTCTGACCTAAGCATCTGGCAACTCTCAACATAATATCAGATTAACTAGCAACAAGCAGTAATGAGTCATAATAAAACAAACCTTTCCAACGGTTAAATTAAAACTACGACACTACCACGCTAAAAGTGTAAAAATGTCCTGCTGGAGATGATGCCAAGATAAAAGTGTGGCAGCATCATAGATAAAGTGTAACATTGTTGACATGGTAAACGTGTAGTGCACAATGGGCAATCACGGCATTTAGGTGAAAAAACGAAAGTGAGATTTTTCGAGATTTGAATACCACGTCATATACTTTGGCATACGCTCTATAACTTTGCCATTGCAAGTTTTTTTCTAGCTGTCATTTCTAGCGGGAGAATCGACGATGAAATTATTTTAGGAAAACAGAGCGGTTAAGATAGAAAATCATTTTCCGACAAACAATAGACGATATTTATTAAAATTTTACATAGTCTAAAACTAGGTATTTCGCTCTATCCATTCGTAAAAAAACTTATGGTTTTTCCTCCACCGAGAAAATTAGCTTTCTTTTTTTGCTATGTATTTTCCGAAAATGTGTGCTCAGTGTAATCGGTTTCCGATTTTTTCCGAAGCTTCAAATTCAACGAATTTTTTACCGAAGGTAGACCTACTAACGATACATATATACTGATAGCACAAACTAGCGTAAACGCTCCTGGACCGAGTTACAGGTCTTCCAAAAACCAGGTTTTTGAAAATTGAAATAAATTAGGTTTTCCTAGGTTCATTAACATTTAAATTTTAAAAAAACGAGATATTTGGAATCAGCGAAAAAAACTGCATCGAACGGTGTGTAATTCAGCCGTATTTGTACGGACACTTTTGAATTTAGTTGATTCCTTTGTTTCTTGCATGTGCGTATAGCATAGGGATTTTAGACTGAATTTTTAAAATTTGAAATTATCGACCGATGAAATCGTTTAAACACTATTTCTCCAGGTTATCGATGATTTTCTATCCAATACAATTGTTTTTGAGTTTTTTAACGATTTTCTAAGTGGTTTTCTAGAGACCGAATCTCTGAAAAACCACTTAGAAAACTTTTTCAGAATTTGAAGGGCATTCCATTAGGTAGAGCATACAAGATAATCTATAAAAAGCACGCTTTTAAGTTTTTCTCTAGCTTGCAGGCCAAACGATCACGTGCCTAGTGAAAATTGCCCACTGTGTAGTGATGTCACATTTTGTTTCATGTCATACTACATGTGTAACATTTTAGGACAATTGACGAACTAGGTCTAGGATGAAAAACTAGCCATACTTCGTCTCGACCAACAGAAAGGCAACTGGCATCCTCCATGCGATCGTTTGTTGAATTTATATTGAGAAAAAACTTGATTCGATGAACTGAGCGAATCAATCACAGGTGATGATCCCGTGAACTAAATGATGAGCTAAACGAAAAGAAGAAAGAAAAAATAAATGAAAATGCAAAAAAGATTAAGATCTAAGCCTGAGCAATACAAAAACTAAAACTAAACCTCTTGCTCTTAGTTTTGCATACGACATATATTAATCTACAGAAAAAACATCTCAGAGTTCTTTGGATGCTTTGTCACGAACACACATGATCCAAAAGTCAGCAAAATTTGACTGTACTCTTCAGGTGGAATGTCAGAAGTTGCTCGAAAATCTCGTATCTATTTCTTGAAAACGGATGTGAAATCTAGTTGGATAATTTCAAGGATCGCTTAGAATTAATGTGTTTAAAGCAAAATGAAATCTCACACTATGATAGATGTAAATGAAGCTAAAACAAAACTTGTTCATATGGCGAAAGAATCATGTCGATAGCTTTTTTAGCTTTCTAATGGCGATCGATTCACTAAGAAAAATTGAAAACTTTGGACTCCAATTGTACAAAAATAGCTCGATATTTTTCCGAGATATTTTCAACAGGACTACAAAACCTAACTGGTCTCATTCACGTTTTAGGCCTTTTTTCTAGAGTTGTTTTCCAGAAATATACCTGAAGTCCTTACCAGCATTTTTCAGACTTTCTATGTGTTTCCATGAGTCGTGAATTTAAGTGTAAACTGTATAACTTTTAGTTTTAGAGCATAAAAACTTCTGCAACTCTAACTAATTTTCTAGCTCTTTCATTTATTTTGATAAACTCATGTCGTCCTCACTTACATGCAAACAAAATTAGATCACTATAGAAGAGACCGATGGTATGTGTCCACAGGTCTATCAGTTTTTAGATTTAACATGATCACTTTTTTTTATTAATAAGGATTTTTCAAAATTTTTTGACGATGAATTTAATGTTAAAGACTGGCTCAATCAAGCATTTCGTTTACAAAAAGATTCGAATCAAACTTTGGATGTACGTCCTCTTTATTTCATATTAATATATTTCCTAGTTACTATTGGATTGTTATTTTTTTCTGATTAGAACTATGCTGGAACACTGATTACAAAATTACAAATGTATATTCAGGTAAATTGAAGAAAAACTTCTCTTCATTTCTTTAAATGTAAGAATTTTAAATTTTATTTTAGGAAATGAATAATTCAATCGAAGAAACAAGTCAGCAAGCAATTCAACATTTTCCGAGGTATAAAGTTACTTTTATCTAGATTTTATTACTCGCTATCAAATTTATATCATTTAGAGTTATGCGAGAAGTTGATTTATTGAAGCATGATGCAACTTTATTACAAGAACAGATGAGATCTGTTCGAGGCGATATTCAAAAAGTAGTTCAACTACTTGTTTTCTTTTATTCTCTTACTTTAATTGTTATTTTTTATCCTTTTTAATAGGTAAATCAGGATACAGCTGAGGGCATGAGAAATTTGATTGAACTAGACCTAGTTAAAAATCGTATACAATCTGCATCAAAAGCACTTCATGAAGCAGACAATTGGGTAACATTATCTGCACAAATAGACGATACATTCGAATCAAAAGATACAGTACAAGTATGCAAATAAATCTATAAATCATCGATACACTGTAGTTCATTTTTTTTTATGTTAACTGTAGATTGCCACAAAGTTGATTGCGATGCAACAAAGTTTGGTAAGAGTGAAGACTATCTTAAATTTTAACAGAACTTTGTATTTGTCTTTTATTAGAAAATTTTGACGGATGTGCCTGATTATACCGATCGTGTTCAAAAATTAGAAAAATTAAAAAATCGTCTTGAAGCATTAATTAGTCCGACTGTTGTGGCAAGTTTCAATAGTCAAGATGTAGGTTAGTTTATCGGACTACTCCAAAAACAAAAACAAAAAAAGCATTTTTTCTCAGCTTTTTTTTTATGCATAAATATAGCGTATAGAAATTCATATAGTTAATATAGACATGTCTCATTTTTATTTAAAATTAAAATATCAATTTTTAGAAGTTGCACGATCATTTGCTCAAGTTTTTCAATCGATGGAACGATCTGAACAACTTGAACAACTTTATGTTAGTTGTGCAAAAGTAAGAATATTTATTTATTTTATATGAATAATATGTATTTTTAGAAGTTAATTATTCTTTTAGAATCGTATTGAGACAAAAATCGATGAAATTATAGAAACAAATGATAGTGATCATGAAACAATTTTAATCTCATTGTACGATTATTTTTCAACTGTTTGGCAAGATGAGGTGAAGAATACTTATCTCAATACAGAAATATTTGTTATTATTTTATTTTCTCTCCTCTTTAGACTCGTTGGTGTATGAAAATTTTTTCTCATCCAATTCGAGTTGTCTTGGCACTTTTGTTAAACGGTTTAAAATTATTTCATGAAAAATACAAATCACGTTTTGATAATGATATACGAGAAAAAGATGCAAATAAACAACTAGAAATTTTGCTCTCATGCAAACGCGTAAGTCAAGAGTATTGAAAAAAACTTTAATATTGTCTATCTATCGCCAAAGAAAATGTATCTCAACAATTCTAATTTGTATGGCTTACTATTTTACAATGCTTTTTACTTGCTTCTATAACGATGAATTCCTAGTGTGATAATAGTCATAGACTGGGTTGTGAACGATCCTCTTTTTCTTCTGTAATTCAAGACCTCTTCTCTTTCTGAGCTAATTTTCCTCTTTTTCTGGGATTTTTTTTAGCAAAAACACCAGAATTCACGCTATTTTTAGATCTGAAAGTAGTTTCAGATATATTTTTTTATCAATGCCGTCATATGAAACAAAATTCAATCACTCGTGATTACAGAAAACAATAGATGAAGTCTCTGTGAGACTTCATGGTTAAAGCAAGGTGCTAAGGAATCAACATTCGTATGTACATTGTGTAAAACCGATCGAATTAGGTTGTGGGAATAAAGTACGACAGTCTGTAGTACAGCATATGAAGAAAGATAAACACTGTGAAAAAATCAGAGAGCTGAAAGAAAATATCGCATTCGTTGGCGATGCTATTTTAACAGTCAGATATGTTTTCTGTGTTAAACTAGAATAACTCCTTTTTCCTGTGTTTTTCTTAGTTTTTTACTCGTGAAACACGAAAAAGAATACTTTAAGTAGGATGAAATCTTTTCTTTGAGCGTCTAAAGCCACTACATCATGTACACAACATTGTCAGTACTATTTTTCGGCCAAAAAAATGCCTGCTCTTTTCCTCTTTATTACCCAACGCTCCTCTTAAAAAATTTTTAACGTTCCTCTTTTTCCTGAAAGGACCGTTGGGAAGCCAGATCGTAGATATTAGACTGTCTTTTTGTGTAATGTGCAGAGATTGAAAATACAATGATGTTGATAACGATCCTAGAATAAATTACTGAAGATCATTTAAAATTTATTTATTATGTCGTAAATCGATGCAAATGTTTTGTATTTTTTATAAAAGTGAAACTGATGTAAAAAAAAAATAATTAACAATTTCAACAGCTTCTAGATAACTCGTTGATATTATAAAATGATAGAGTAAAAAAAATAGTATAAAAAGTAAGATTGAGCTATTTATTTTATCCTGATGAATTTACTGTTGTTTATATCAAACGTGTATATTATCCTGTTAAGTTAACTTTTTTTTGATTGATCAATTTTTTGTTTAAAAAATAATAATTTATTATCATCTCTATCGCCAATAATTATTGTTTGATCACGTTTTATAGCCAAACCAGAACCACCTTTTAATTCCTTACTACGAAAATAAGTAATTTCATCTTCACATTGTTCTTCATCATTATTATTATTTTCAACAGCTGTTCGATGAACACATCTTGCATCTTGATCACTATAACATACTGTTAACCAATTTCCATTCTCATCTAATAAGATGCCGTGTGGTACATTTAATTGACATGGTCCTGGCTTTTTTGTTTCATGATCATAAATTTTGTTAATATAACCCATTTTATCAAACATATATACGGCACCTCGATAAATAGGAGCATCATCACATGTTACAGCACATTGTTTACCATTAATAGCAATAAAATTTGGTTTTACTTTAAATGTTGGCTGTTCCCATCGATGTAAATACCATCGACGATTAACATATCGAAAATCAGGTGAAAATACACAAATACGATGATTCCATGAATCACACATATATATTTCACCATTTGTAGGATCAACAACAATACCACATGGTATATTAAAACGATTATTTGCATGACCACTTTCTTCACTACCTAATTTTTGAATAATTTGTTTTTTTTCAATATCATACAAGTTTAATGAATGAGCTTTTGTTATATAGATTTGTTGTGGATGATGAGGTCTAATACAAACATTTTCTGGCACAGATATTTGACGAAATATATCAATTAAACTGCCATCATTTGAATTAAACATAATTATTCGATTATTATAATGATCACATACAATTAATTGTTCATCATCCGTATCTAATAGACAAATACCATATGTATGAGCAATTGATGTTTGAGATATTGTTGATGAACTAAATTTTTTTATAGTTAAACATGGTTTTGTATCATAGGTGGATATTGGTGGTAAATATGATAATAATGAACTTTCTGATGAATATTCTTCTTCTTCTAGACTAGGTATTGTTGGTGTCCATGATCCTAGAAGAGGTAATGTTCCAGGAATTATTGATGGTCGACGTTTTGTTAAATCGTGTTCCATTCGGTTTTGTTTTATTTTTGTTTATTTTTAACGTTGATGAAGTCGTTTATTTAATAGACTGCATACGCTCCTTTTTCAGTCGTTTACATACATAAAAGATAAATGACAATTTTCTTTTATCGGCTTGGCTTTTCGTTTATTATAACAAAACAAAAATCTATCAACATATCTCTTTTTAGATTTTTGGTGACAGTTATGTATATATACATCTATATATCTATATATATCTATATAAAATATATATGTTTAGAAATATTGATGTAATGAATTTAATTGTGCGCGTATTGTGCACATACACACACACATACACATACGCATAAATATCAATTATGAATAATAGAATATTTTGTATCAATAAAAAGGAGTAGAGAAAAATAATTTTTTAACCTAGTATTAATATCTTAGAATACAGTGGGTTAGTAGTATGTTAACAAGGTCATCTAAAGACAAAAATATCAAAATATGAATTGACAAATTTAACTTGTTGATTTGTTGTAGGAGACAATTGCTAATGTTGAAAGAATTATTGCGATATGAGTATCTAAATTTGACCACAATAAAAATAGACTGTTTGCTTTTTGATTTTTTGTTTTTTCTCAATAATATTTATCATCAATATGAGAATGTTCAACTAATCAGTTTGATTTATCTATATGTGTATAATGTTTTTGACAGTGATATTTTGAATAGGTGCCACGTGTTCAAGTTTTAGTTATATGGCTTTTGTCTTAGATTAGTGGACTATTTTACGATGTTGGAGTCTCTTACAAAAACAATAATAAGAACTGATATAATTGTTTAGATAATTGTCATCCTGAATTTTTTCATTAATATGTAATGCATGAAAAGATTTGATTATTGTTTCTTGTAGAAGATTTCAGATTAATTATCACTGTGTGTTTTCTGAGCGCGTAGTTATTATTATCTAAATAAAAACTTTGAGTTTTTTTTTCTCTATTTAAACATGTTATTATAAGTGTAAGTTTTTTCAACAGTTTGGAATTTAAAAGTAAAAGAAGAACTGTAAATATGTTTAGTAGAACTAACGAGGGAAGTACCCCAACTGATAAATCGCTTTTTCAACGAAACCGAGTAGACTATAGATAGTCGACGATGCTGATTCCGAATATCACCATGAATGCTGCTGCTAGGCCTTCAAAGACCGGTCTTCTGGAAAACCAGTTTTCGAGAAACTCTAAAGAACAACCGAAAGCTTTCTTAATGAGGCGTAATTGTAGTCCATAAATTTCTGATTAAAACGAGGCATC